TACGTGATAACTAATTAGACGTGATAATTGGGAATTACTATCTAAAAGGACTTGTTCATATCTAATTCTAATAACTATGATACATGTTGCTTTTATATAAATCCAAAATATAATTTCTAGACTATACAAATTCATATTCGCTATATCACTTAAATTCTATTGGTTTAATATTCATTCGCTTGTTCGTTCGCTCGTTAGCTTAGTTATTCATTTATTACTTGTTTACTTATTCGCTTGCTTGTTCGCTTGCTTCACGTGATTTGATCTTTATCCAATAATATATGAGATATTTATAATCCAATAATAAAATATTATAATGAAAGGTCATTATATAACAATATTAGATTATGTCAGTTATTGCAATAAAAATCATTAAAAAATATAATCTCAACTTCAAAACAAGTTTATCTGATCTTGGTCAATATATCTCTGAGTTTCTTAAAAATCTTATAGATAATAGAAAAAGAAATCAGTTCTAAGATATCTTTGGAATAACTTTAAATTTAGCAGTAAACAAATAAGTATATTAATATTCAACTAGAAAAGTAATAAAACTAAAGTCATAATTTTTGCAACTTCTGATAATTATCAAGTTTCTAATGGTTACCAAATTCCTGATTCAATTTCACAAAATTTAAAAGAAACTATCAGAGATTTAGCTTAATGTATTTTGCAAAATAAACTTAATATAAGAGCTGAAACTTATATTTTAGTTCTATCAGCTCCAAATACTAATGCTAATTTATTATGTTTTTTATGATTTAGAAGAGAATTGAGAAATCTTAATGCTTCATCTGAGATAATCAATACTACAAAATTTTCTGAAATTACAAAAGAAATTAATGAAATCCAGTATAATCAATATAAATTTGTCAAGATATTCGAAAGAATTGATTATTCAGATCATTTTATATTAGAATCAGTTAAAAAAAAATTGAATAATTATAATATATCTAATTTATCTAATTTACAAGCTCTCGCAGATATTATAATAATATTTTGTATTCATCCTACTGAACTTATAACTTTATATATTATAAATACTGAAATGACAGACTATGCAAAGAACAGAGATCAACCAAATATTCCTAAAAAATTTAGATCTATGAAAAAGAATCAAGAATAAGCTAAGAAATTGCTTATCTGAATTTAAAATATTATATCTTTTGAATAAATAGGAGATCTAGGTAAACTAAAAACTAAATGATTCAATAGATTCTTAAAAGATTATAATTTAATTTTTAAATACTTATGAAAAATGGATGTCATTTATAATGCTATAGTTTATACTAAAAATTCAGTATATTTTATAACAATCACTGAAGAATATTTTTATCATAATTCAAGTAATCATACTTTTTCAGTACAAAATTACATTGTGGTAAACTACAGAAAGTGAGAACAAAAATCTGAAAAGGTGAGATCATTCTGTTTCTATGATAAGGATTAATTATTGATTTATATATTTACTAATTGCATTTTTTTGCTTATATTAAATGTATAGTCATTTTATTATATACTTTAGCACTAGTTTCACTATTGGAATCAGCTTCATTATTGGATTCAAATTCATCATCAGATTCAGATTCCATCCAGAACTTTTCATCTGAGGAATAATTATGAATGTCTTTTTTTTTATTGCAGAGCAGACTATTAGGTAATTTAAAGAATTATGACTCTTTGAATATACAGATATATTATATCATTTTTTGAAAATATTCAGGTTTGCTATCAAGTTAATAATTTTCTGCCGAATCTCAGGTTTTACTATCTTCAGTAATTTGCAGAGAAATTGAAATCTTTTTATATAATATTTGTTTAATGAATTTAGATGCTATTTTTAGGAGATAACTGTTTTACAACCATTTTTAACCATTGGATTTAACTTAGTTTTTATTAATATGTCACAAAAAATATAATATCAAATATATTAATATATTTCTGAAAATAAACAATGTGAGGATCTTATTCAGAATATGATTTAAGGGATACTATTAATTGGTTGGAATCATATCCAAGCTCTCCAGTTTCTGAACCTGAAATGTCTAAAGATATTCCTGCTCCCACTCAATGTGATTCATCTATTGATGAATATTTTGAAATGATAAAGACATATGTCATAACATTGGGAGTAAATATAAATGATGAAAAAATCAAAGAAAAATTTATTATTGAATTATCATCAAAGAACATGATAAATGCAATTCGATTCGGAATCAAGGAACCCATAAATGCAATAGTTAGGAATTTAAAACTTATCTCGACTGGACCTACTGATATTCAAAAGTTTCGATCCGGGGATTTGAGACAGGAGGGAGATTCGATAATGAAATATTACATGAAAGTAAAAAAATATGGTAAATTAGCTGGATATAATGAAGAACATCTTAAACATCAATTCCTTCGTGGGTTAGATTCGGAAAACCAAGTGGAAGCTAGAATATGCGGATTAGATCTGTCATTAGAAGAGTTGATAGGGAGATTGAGTATAATTGAGGATATTCGGAAAAATCAAAGTGATGTATAATATCCACGATATATGTACCTAAAATTAATTATCTAAACATTAGTTATTTTTTTCCCGATAAATACATCATTAAATATACTTAATATGTTCATAAATTGTCTTGTCGAAGGAAAAATCCCAGTAAAAGCATTAATAGATACATCCTCAAAGTTTAATATACAAAAATAATCATTGGCCCGCTGAAATTACTGTATATTGTACGATATGCAAAAGTAAAATTTCGCCCACGCATCTAATTATTCAGAATTGCATCTTGTAAACTCCATAGATTTACTATAAAGTTATTAGGTACGTCACCAGGAACACCGCCAGGAACATCGTTAAAAAGTAAGTTGGTAGGGATGGCTAGTTGATATTTACCAATATCAGCACCAGCACAAGGTGCCCCTCCAAACCCAACACCAGTGATGAATTCATCCCGTACGATACTTTGAAGATATATTCGTGAATGATTAGAGAGAGGTGCTGTTCCGAATGATTTAACAACTACAGGTGTTGTGGGATTTTGATTATTACGTAAGTAAAGCACCGCAAGAAGCGCAAAAGTATTGTTCCGGCGAGGTGGGTACAATTTGATTGCTAAATAAATTTGGATAGTTGTCCGTTGAGAAAAATATTTTTCTGCCAATTCGTGTAAACTGTTTAAACTTTCAGTATTGCCAATCTCAACCACCAGAGTAGGATATGGATTTCCTGATGAATTGACTGCTCTTAAGGATTGAGGTTGATGACGATTCAATGGCCGAACACAAATATCAGGACGATATACACTTCTTGTACCCACAATAATATCCATTTCACCATGGACTCGCAACCGACTACTCCAACTCCTTATTATATAAGTCAATTCTCCTTGTACCGCTGAGTGAGGGTCGAGAGGCATTTCGTAAGCTTCGATTTTTCCATCGATCAAACGGTGATTAACCGAAACTTTTGGTTCTCCTTCACAGAATTCAAGATAGAGTCTACGTGATACTTCTTTGTCAATAGTAATTCCCTTTCGTTTTACTTCCTCAAAACCTTCTTGTCGTTTGATAGCAAGAAGCTTATGTCTTGCTGAATCAAATGCCGAGGACCATTTAGAGAATAATTCGTTCTGCAATGAGGGAGGCATAGTGTTTGAATGATGTGAATGACGTTTTACAGAAGAAAATTCAATTGCCTAGATGTTAGTCTGGTCAAACTAATTTTTATAGCATGTGACTGTTTATATCAAATTACATTATAGAGATTAATTTAGTTAAAATCATACGTGACTTATCGAACTTATTAACCAGTAAAAATTTTTTTATTGCAATCCTTCTAAAAGTTTCTATCAGTGCAATACGTCATAGAGAGATCAACAGTTAATTTATCAACCAATCATAATTTCAGGAGTTAAGATATATCGCCACTTATCAAAGTTTGATTAGCAAAAACCCTTAATTTTTTGTATCCTTTTAGGAATAACAATTTCCGGTTTTTCATCATACCATATCTCAAGTAAGAAAATTCCATTATTTTGACACATGCATCTTTTCTTTCGATCACGATTAACAATGTCTTCGAGTTTTTTAACATTCTTATACCAGCTAGTGTTATGAAACCGATGTTGAGCCTCTTGTACTTCTAACGCAATTCGATTACTTCGGAAGAAGGCATCAAGTTCTAATCCCTTCATAAACGATGGATGATATTTGATTACGGGTTTCTCTCCAAGCAATACTCGAGCTATTGGGATGCATTTCTCCTGAAATTTGCAATTTTTCTTAAATTCTAGTTCTTTTTTAAATTCATCTATATCTCATTTTAACTTCACATTTTCATCTTTAATTTTGATGTTTTCTTTTTCAAGTTAATAATCTTATCCATCAACTTCAAATCTAATTTATCAATTTCAGTTTGTAAAGATTCAGAAGTTTCAGAGTTTATTCAGGAATCAAGTCCAATTTTTTTTTATATTTTTATATAATCTAGAACAAAACTTATCTGTTAAAATACTTGGTAATCTAATCAAATTAGCATGTCACTTCAAATATTCTGGAGTTAAGTTTTTATTCATGTTAACGTTTTTTCAGAGATTGAGCCCAATCTCTTTTATATATGCTCTATACAACTTAGGATGAATCTCATTTATCAAAATACCTGGCGATACAGTAATTTTAATTTGTCACTCCAAATATTCAGGAGTTAATATTTTATGAGTTTTTGATTCTGTGTTTTGCTCTTTCATAATTTTACATAATTATAAATTAATTTAAATTAAATATTAACTTCTCATAGCATAACATGATGAAAAAATAATTTATTACTGAAGCTAATTATATAATAATTATATACATATATACATATATTATTATATAAATTAATCTATGCTTTTACAATTACTATTTGAATTGAATTCTAATATTTATTTCTTCAATATCTAAAGTGATAAGTTCTTATATTAATATAATTATCATTACTCCATATACCTTCTATGTTATATTTTATATTTTCTTTTTTATGATCTTTATTATATATTTTTGAATAAATAAAGTAATTATTATATTTATTATTATATTTTAAAAATAAATAAGGAAATTGCTTTAATATAGATTTTCAATTCTCTTCTAGTTCATCAAATAAAATAAAGATTGAAGATTAAAATTTATTGTCAGAGACAGTCACAAGATGACTAGATATAGATATATTTACTTTAGCTTTTAGTAATTTTGAGAAAGTAGAGTTTTGAACCTTTGTTTCATCTTTTTGGAATGAATTTAAAGGAATTAATTCAGTAGATATACTTACCTCAGTTTCAAATAAATTATCTGGAAAATTATTCTCTTCATCGATAAATTCTATATCAGATTTTTTGGTGAAGTGATTTATAATCATTTAAATCTGAGAATTAGTAAATTTTGAAATAGTATTTGTATTATATGTTTTGATATATTGAATCTTATCAATTTCTATTTTTTCAAATAAATTATAAATTTTTCTGGTTTTTTGAGTTTGCTTTTGTAAAGTTTTACACTTGGTATTTAGTTGTGCAATAATAAAATCATAAATTCACTCTTGTTTTTTTCTCTTCAATATTGTCAAATTTTATAAGATCTCTAATCTGGTTGTCAAATTCTATAATATTGTTACTATATTTTATAAGTTCTTGAGAGATTTGAAAAGTGCTTAATAATATTATAATAAGTTACTTAATTAAGATTAATAAAGTTTATTAAGAATTACAGATAAAAGAATATAATATAATCAAATCTATATAATATATCAAGCATTAAACTA